TCCCAAGCATTTACATCCAGTGGGTCTTGAACTACATTTCATAAACCTTCTCTATGCAGAAATAGACTGCACTTCATAGACCAGGAAACATTGTTTGTTCCATCCAACCGGGTTATCAGTGATAGACTTGTTGAAGTGTCTTGTGCCATCTTTACCAGGATAGTAACCCACAATTAAACAGTAAACAGCTGTCTGTATACAGTACTGTGCATTCACACCAACTCTCAGTTATCTGAGCCTGGTATGGCCTGGGCCCATAACCAGTGTTGAGGTAATTCCCCATTAGGAGAATGAGCGCATACAGGGAGACGTATAGAGAGTAGTGTTTGAATAATACACACACAGCACACAGATACACTGTACAGTAAATGTATACATTTATTACATAGACATCTGGGGCATATTAATTTCAAAATGCTCAAACAAACTGTTGAATTATCAGAGGGAGTAAAATTGAAACCCTGTAGCAAGTATTTAAACTGGAATGCTTGTAGCCAAGAGAAGAGCAAGGTTACTCCAGCAAACAGATTAAATGGGTTTAAAACCAAAGAAGCTTTAGAGGTTGTTTTTGCTGACATAACTGGTCCTAAGAAACCTAGTTTAGGAGGTGCCTGTTATATTTTGAGTATTATGGACCATTACTTATGATATGGTTTCTGCTATCTCATGAAAAACAAAACAGAAACATTTCAACATTTCTTTAACTGGCTAAGGTTTGCTGAGAGAAAAATGAAAAGTAAAGTAATTACTTTAGTTACTGATAATGGGACTGAGTTTGTTAACAAAAGATTCCAAACTATGTTGAAATTGGCTAGTGTTGAGCATAAATGTTCTGTACCTTACAGACCACAACATAACTCGTTTATAGAACGAAGAGGGCAAACATTACAAGCCATGGCTCGCACTATGTTATCTGATTCAGGTTTGCCTGAAACACTGTGGGGTGAAGCCATAATGTGTAGTAATCATGTTTTAAACAATGTAGTTAACACAACAACTGGTGAATTGCCATTCACTCGTTGGCATGGCAGAAAACCAAATTTAAGTTACTTACACACATTTGGAGCTCCAGCATGGGTGCATATTCCCTCACAAGTAAGACTGAAAGGGCAACATAGAGCTAAGAAGTTACTTTTTGTAGGTTATGAAGCCAACCATAGATCGTTTAGATTTTGGGATCAAGGCACAGCTCATGTTTATTGTAGTGCTAATGCAAAATTTCTAGAGCATGTTGGTTGGGATAAACTGGAACAGGGATCCAGTAATGATATTATTATTGACACCCAAATAGTCCCTAAAGATAAAATCAGTAAACCACGAATAGCCATTAAAGAGGAAGAACAGGAGGAAGTAGGAGAACAGGCACAGGAAGAGGTAGAAGAACAGGAGCAGGTGGCACAGGTGAGTCCACCAGTTAGCCCTGTATTACCAAGACGTTCAACCCGTGTAACACGACCACCTGATAGATATCAGGCTAGTGTTGTATGCCAAGTTAATACAGTTCCAAGTAATTATAGTGAACTGAAACTGTATCCTGCTAAGGATCAGGCTGCTTGGCAGAAAGCAATGGATAAGGAACTAGAATCATTAAAAAGACTGGAGGTATACAAAAATGTTAAGTTACCACCAGGTAAACATGCCATAGGATGTAAATGGATATATAAATTGAAGACAGGTGTGGATGGGACTGTAACCCATAAAGCCAGGTTAGTAGCACAAGGGTTCAATCAGACAGCAAATGACTATGAT